TGTTAGCTTGTTATCTAATGACAAACGCTATATCGTGTTTATATATATGTATACATACATATTCATGTTAGATAATGGCGGAAATCCGAATCATGGTGGCAATAATTGGCCGTTGCGTGGTGGTAAGGGAACGTACTGGGAAGGAGCCATCCATGGTCTTGGATTCGTTTATAGTTCTGCTATTGCAAAAGAAATGAGAGGAACAGTGAATACAGAAATGATTCATGTCAGTGACTGGTTTCCCACAATAGTAAACTTAGCCGGAGGCAGTTTGAATGGAACGAAGCCATTAGATGGTTTTGACCAATGGCAAACAATTAGGTAAACAAAATCAACTTATTTACTAGTCACATTTCGTGTTATGTCGGACTGTGGTATCCGATTATGTATCTGTCAGATTGATTAGTTGAGCAGATACCAACAATATATAGCATCTGGTATGCTAACCCACTTTGTAAATTATATTTTCCTTTTAAAGTCAAGGAGCAGAATCTCCAAGAACTGAAATTCTCATCAATATCGACCCACTGGTACCCCCACCGTCAGATATGGAACATTTTGTGCATGGTTGGAATGGAACCTACAATACCTCAATGTGTGGCGCCATCCGGGTTGGCGATTGGAAATTATTAACTGGAGATCCAGGTAATATGATACACAGCCATAAATGACAAACGAACGCGACATTGTCACCCCATTATTTTCAGAGCGTGGAACACACACGCTATTCACTTTATTATTTTATTACAAAAATATAATACAGACAACGGTAACAACAATAGTACAAGATAATATTTAATTGTTTCAGGTAAAGGGTCATGGATACCACCTCCTGAATCTGGACATCAGCCAATTATACCTAATGATAAACCCGGAAAACACGTATGGTTATTTAACATCGCTGAAGACCCAACTGAGACAACAGATTTGAGTGAAGATAATTTAGATAAAGTAATTGAATTACTGATAAAACTGGACGAATATTTGTTAACCTCTGTTCCCGTTGTATATCCTCCTAACGACCCCCTTTCTGACCCATCTCTGAATGATGGTATATGGCGTCCATGGTCGCCTGAACCATACACTTATCCAGGCAACCCAAATAATCCAAATAATCCAAACATAAAAGACAACGTATTTTAATGTGTTACGTATGTAGTTGACATTCTAAAGAGTATACCTGTATTATAAATACAAAGTCAATAAACTGTGATTCAAGCATAACTAATTCGTATCTACATGGCTCCTACTTACGTGCATGTATATTCAACCTTGCTTATACATACACCATATATGTGTATTCAGTCATAGTTATATTCTCTTGTTAATGCAGATATGACAGTAATCTAGCAGCCATTAAGAGTGGCTGTCAAATGATGTGTGAACCGTGTGCAATATATTGTTTTGAGAATATGACATTGATGACGATCCACTGTATTCTATTTATTGTCACAATTGTATGGTGAGTGTTCACGGCTCCGACACTTCGCACAAGATAAAATACCCAACCGTAGATAGCGTATTGTGACGTTTACAATTAAAACGAATGAAACTATCAAGACAAGAATACAAGATGGGCAGTATTCGATGTGTTAGGGATAGATTTCCCTGATTGTGGCATGTTAAATAAATCACTCATTCACGCCATCATGCATGACAGCCGCCTATTGTCTTTGCACTTTGCTCTATAGATATGAAATGTTGGTCAGTACAATACAAAAGATTTTTTCACTAAAATAAGTTATTGTAACATTGCAGCCAGAAATAACTCTAATTTTTAAATACGTCTTGCGCCGTTGTAGAGAGAACGCCAGCCTGCATCGTTATTGTGGCTAGCGCGTAAGAGAAACAGCTGCGCCCTGTTTAAAAACGTTCCACACTTTCAGCCAGCTCTTCATAGTAAATATAAGGCGTTGTGTCGTCACAGGAGGCGCTGTCTCAGCCCAGACCTGTCTCATACGACGCCTTACTAGCCGATTTTGGCTAAAATAGCGCTCCACCTCCTTATTACACTAGTGTTTATACACGGAACTTAGTACTTCTTTTTACAACTTAACTTAATTTTCAATCATATTTTGAAAGAACGCCGACTTGTATGTCTCCAACAGACCAATAGGTGTTCGCCATATAGCACACGTTATGTTTTTTCGAATAATGTGCGTACGTTTTTGGCTCGTTCTTTGAGCATGGTAGCACCGTACCTCACAATGGGCCATATAAAAACATGAGCTTCGACAAGGTATTCGAAAAAAATCCACTATGTTTTTATTTTCGAACAAAATCCAGCAAATAAAACTACGAATTTCTGCACTATTATGGTATTTCTCTAGCCATCCGAAAGCCCAAAGCATTTGTTCCAATTTGTATTACCTTTAACAGTAAAGAAACATAACATTAAAAACCTTAAATAATTAGGTGGTGCATATTCCTATCTTCATACATACTGTATACAGTTATGGAGTTGCATAATTCATACTCCATTGACATACATGTGTATTCCAAGCAATTGGCAGGATGATGCACATGTCAACATCATTTTGGATAACATATATGTGTCATAAAACGGCTGGTGTACATACACAGGCTAATATGTAATTTTTTACAACACAAATTGCACTCAAAAGTGGTATTATTAATTACATACCTAATTTCATTATTTGTTTAACTTTGGTTCGGCGTGTATGTGTTCTTTATTTATCCAAGCCCACCCCAGTATGATTACCAAAGTATAAGGAGCATACATTTTCTGTGGTCAATGAATCCCAGTCTGCTCTGAAAGAGGGTGAGCTCAAGGCAACAACGAAGTACATTGCACTATCCGTGGTGCCTGCACCAGAGCCTGATTGGATTTGCAACATTCACTACATAGATTGAATCTAGAAGCACACGTACACATTAGAGATTTAATAGTTATTTGGATGGTCCTGCGAGAGAAGCTACAGCAGAATGTTTTCTCTTTAAGAGTGAATATTCCAATTCGGTTTTGGAGGAAAGATACGGAAATCTATACACGAGCATTTGGAAGTAAAATAAACCCATTGCAAAATACAGACATGGATAGAAAATCATAGCCACGAAAGTCGTGCCAGATATGAAAATCCTCAATGATGTACAGGAAAACAAAGATGCTATAAAAGCTACCAGACTGGCGTGTGGTCAGATGAGCTCGTACAACCTATGAAACAAAAACAGCGAACAAGACCCATATCAGAGAGGCATGAATGTATCAGAAAGGGTGGCTAATGTTTGGATATTGAACATGTGTCAACAATAAAGGTTGATTCATCAATGATTCTTTCAGTGTTTCCAGTCGAGATTATCCAGTCAAATAGATCTTGGTTAACACAATATTAGGAACTCTGTTTCGGAATATTCAGCAGAGAAGCTGATAACAGTGTTGCGAACGACTTACGCAATTCAGAAGGTATTTCAAGCTTTAGTTTCGTGGATTTGCTGTGACAAGTCCAGTTGTCTACAATTGTGTATTCATGATAAGTACCCTATAAGTTACACAAGACTGTTTACAAACAAATTTGTATATAAACAGATATGGCGTAGAGCATCACGAGGAACCATTGCAAGCCAACTATGTCCGCAATCTAGTGCGAAGAATTGTGATTGTGAATCCTTCTGCTATAATGCAGGTTTTCGAATCGAATTTCAAAGCTCAAAGATGAGAATATAGCCTTCTCAAAGAAAATATACAATTTCCTAGAATTCATAGAAAGTGGTATACATAAGGGAAATGATATCTTGCTACTGCTATCGATGCGTGACAAGCCAACACTTTCAAGTAATAAATCGATGGCTGACCAACGCTTGAAAAACGTTTAGGTCAAATCCACAGTATTTAGATGACTAAGACAATTTTTATTGATTTAGTATTGCTAGAGAAAAAGCAGAATTGGGTGAAGGTACAGAAGAAAAAGAACAGGAGTGAGTGGTAAATATCTCATCAGAATATTCGTGTAGTCTTTGACTGCAGTGCTAAATATAGTAGAGGTGACTTAAATGTCTTTTGTAGCAGGGTTTCACCACTCGTCGGTCCTCTATGTCATTTCATCGTGTGCAATATTCAAAGCATGTTTCACAGATTTAAAGTGAACAAAGAAACAGAAATAATGTTAGATTCCTTTGGCGGAAAGATGCAAATATTAATAATGAGCAAAGTGTAACCATAAAGTTCATCTCTTTGGTGCCATACTCCATGATATGCTAACTACGGACGTAAACATATAGCTAAAATAGCCAAAAATAATCCTCAGTATTACCACAAAGAAGTTTACTTTGTCTTAATGGATTTCTATGCTGACGATGGATTAAAAAGTGTTGGCTCTTTATCAGAGGCTATTAAACTTCAGTGCAAAGCTCTACTTACATTCCATACAAATACATACATTTGAACTACCCCACAACTAACTCTATGTGTTATGTGTTCATACATCTACTAGCACCCAACTAAACCCGTCAAGCCATTTTTCGAACCCAGTTTCAGTACTAGTAATGATTCATCCAAGTTCTGAATTATTCATCAAATTAATAGATTGACTGGTAATAATGATTGCACAGTGGCAGTGGTGTGCCTATGTCCATCCATACTTCAATGTGTAATCAAATGCTGCCTTTTTTATTGAATATTTTATCAATTTATAACTGTCCATCTTGCTTCTGTTCAATTAGTTATCCCACCGGTCTATAAACGTCGATTGACTATTAAACGTAATGACGTCATTAAACGATGTATTAACACGTCATCCAGCATCAATGATAACCAGTCTGTCTCTCTTCGCGACATATACATACACAATTACTCGGATACTCCTATGGCAAAGGAGAAATACAGCAGAGGGAACCCAGATAGTTTGAAGCAGATAAGTTACTAAAGAGATTAGGTATGAGATAGAAGTCACCAAAGAAGATGGT